GTGTGTGTGTGTGTGTGTGTGTGTGTGTGTGTGTGTGTGTGTATTCATATCTTTGTGGGGACCAGAAATATGAAGTTTAATATGCATGTGGGGCATTTTTGAGACTTAAAATATGGTTTTATTGTCAGGGTTACAATTAGGCTATGGTTAGGTTTAGGGTAAGCGTCAGGCATTCACTTTTGATGGTTAGGGTAAGTGGCTAGGAAAAGTATTATGTCAATTTGATGTCCCCACAAAATATGAATATGCAACATGAGGGGGGGATCGAGACAGATGTTAGCTATGGACGCTAACGAAGTCATTTTAAAATGTGTATTTGCAGTATGGCTGGATTGGGTTATACAATAAGATTTGGAGCTGGTCTATGTCAGGCACAGATGTCTACAAAAACAGTGAAGCTGAGTTCAGAAATTGGGCACCTGGTGACCCAAACAACCAGAATGGTAATGAAGAATGTGGACAGATGATCGGTACCGGAGAATGGAATGATGTACCTTGTTATCTAAATGTTATGGCAGTCTGCTCCAGTGTCAGAGGTGAGGATTTAAACAGTTTAAAGACCACAACACAAACCAGTTTCAGCTCTTCATCTATGAGTTATGCCTGTTGCTGCACAATTTTATCTCTTTTCATACAGCTCATTTTGATAACTAAAGATCAGAGAGTTGAAATGTAAGCAATAAAACGTGACTTGTGGATTTAAGAAATTAAGTGCAGCCTGTCTAGGACTGAGGACTGACACAAGTGGATGCAAAATATTATGATGGCTCAAAGGAGCTTGCAAAGAAAAGCGTCTGGACCTCCTTAAGTTGCTTGAAGATGTTTCCCCTCTCATCCGAGAAGCTTCTTCAGTTCTAACGTCAAATGGTGGAGAGTCCCAGATTTAGAGGGAGACCTTAACCACTTAATATGATTTATTTAGACTGTAATGCTTTTTGTTTTTTGTTTTTTTTTTACATATTAATGTATTGCAAAAATATTTTATGATATTATATGGCACTTCACTTTGATCTGTTTCAGGGGCTAATGTGACTTTTATCTTAATCAACAATCCCATGACATGGACAGAGGCCCGGAGCTTCTGCAGAGCTCATTACACAGACCTGGCCAGTGTGAGAAACATGTCAGAGAACCAGAAGATAAAGGAGCTGATACCTGCAGGACAAAAGGTCTGGATCGGCCTTTTCAGAGGCTGGATGTGGACTGATGGAAGTAAAACCTCATTTACATACTGGAATGTGAACCAGCCTAGCAGTGTCGTGTCGTATAATTGTGCATCAGTATACTTTGGAGCTGCTGGAAAATGGGAATCCCATACATGTGACTTTCGGAGAGGATTTATTTGCTACAATGGCTCAGGTACCCTCCAGGTTTACTTTGATTGCAGTTGCTGATATAACAAAACCCGCTGCACTAACAAAAAGTGACTTATTCTTAAGAAAGTGAGAAGATGGATTTGTTTGTGTTGTTGTGAGGTTCATGCTAAGTTACACTAAGCTTTCTCTGCAACTAACAGCCAAAAGGTCTCACAATAATATCCGAACAGTTATCGTCCATGTCACTGATAAATCTGCTTTTTGTTTGTTGAAGAGGAAAAGCAGAAGGAAGTTGTGCCACTTGCTTCAAAACATGTGGTGAAAGTGAGGCTGGAGAAAAGCCCGTCTCTCGGTCTGCAGGACTCTGCGGTGCAGGATGAGATGCTGCAGCAGGTAATCATATCTGTAACAGATGTTTTATGGATTGATTAGTTGTCTGTATTTAATGTGGGGGGCATTTTCACAAATCATGCTGAAAACAGAGGTAGAGTCCTAAGTTTCCAGTATCAGCAAACTTGAAGGCTCACATGTTTCATTCTTCCTACTTTGATGTTTTCATGGGCTCTGAAAATGGGATGTGGGGAAAAAAAGAGATGCTTGAGAGAAGAAGTATGATATTTCAATTTTTTCTGCAATTTATTTTAAGCATGTTCTAACCATGAAGAGTGATGCATAGGACCAGGGCTGTGCAGAGATGTTTGAAGGGGCAGGTGCTTAAAGTTAAAAATGGGCACATAGAACCAGGCTGAACAACAACACACATTCATCTAGAATCTAGTATGGAATCGCATCATATTATATCACTGTCATCGGGCGGGGACAATGCAGAGCAAACAGACTATGTCTGCCTGTTGGCTACAACGTTGCTGCTGCTCCTGCTGCTGATAGTGCTGGAGGGCAGGGCTGTGCTGATCTGAGACTGAAGATGTTTGGGGTTGTTGTCCTGCTGCAGAACACATTTGGGGCCAATAAACAATCATTTACATTTCTGAAAGCATTCTTTGTTTACAGCATTTTTTCACATCTGCTTGAAACTTTTGCACAGTACTGTGTTAACATTTCACCTTTGAACCCTGAGTTGTTTGACAGTTCATTAAGAGCTGTAATAGAGCTGTTACACAAACGTTTTTTCCATCTTTGTTTCAGCTCAAAAAGAAGCTGAAGGACCAGGGAGTGAATGGAGACATCACAGTGAGCTGGAGGAAGCAGTCAGACGGAGAAGTTTTCCATGAGGAGGAGACGAAGAAGAAGAAAAACAAAAATGATGAGTGTTAAATGTTGGTAGAAAGTCAGCTTTAACGAACGATTTGTGTCCTTTAACCCTCTCGAGGCAGGCGTCGCCGATTTGCAACAGTTAAAAACTAACAACCTGATTACCCCACATACATATTTTATGAGGTTTTTTTAAGCACTGCAGGACTTTGTTGTGCATTAGCAACAAAAAGTTTAATTTGAGCCTGAGAGGGTTAAAAGTAAGAGAAGATTCTGCAGTTTGTCTTATTATTGTTGGAATCTTGGATAATCTTGGTTAATGCTAATGTGTGCTGTTTCTTTAATTCTGTTTATTTCACAACTCAACAGGAAGTTGTTGAATTTTTTGGCAAAATTAGTAACGTAATGTTGGGTTCTTTTTGACATATAACAGAGTATAATGTCTTATACAGCTCTTTGTTTTTCCATTGTTGTCGCACTGGTGAGTAAAACGGTCTCTTGTCAGTTCATATATCTGGTTAATGAAAGTTGAAGACAACAACATCAGGGAACTTAAACTGCTGCTGCTCTGTGCTCTTCCAAAAATTGGAAAAATGTAAAACAATACTGATAGTAAACTCAATTTGTAATCCACAGCAGGTTGGAGAAAGAAGACTTCACACACTTTTAACAATCACTCTGTCACGGTCCTGAGTCTGTGGACTCAGTGTTTTTCTGTTTGTATTAGTTATCTTTGATTTCTGTCGCTAGTATTCCTAACTCCCTAGGTCCTTGGCATTTCTTGTGTTCTCCTTCTTAGGTCGTGGTTCTGTGTTACTTCTGTTAGTATACAGTCATCTCTGTCAGTGTGTCTCTTGTTCTGTCACTGTATCCCCTAGTTTAGTCCACATCTGTTCAGTTTCCTGTTTTACTTTGAAAGTCTGTGTACTATGTCAATGTGTTGAGTTTTGCCTCCCCTTGTCTTGTCATGTCTGATGAGTCCCAGCTGTGCTCTCCTCCTGTTTCACATTCCCTAATCACCTCAGTATGTATTTAAGCCCTGTGTTTTTCCCTGCCAGTTGTTGCGTCCTCCACGTTTGTTGTGTGTGTATCCATTGTCGTCTACCTTCAGCATCTCCTGTCTAGTTAGTTTAAGTGGTTGTTTATGTATCGCCAAGAGTGACTCACCAGCAAATAAAGCTGTCGTTTAAGTTAATGTTTTGTCTCCGAGTCCTGCGCGTGGGTCCAGCCACTGACAGCCACACGACTCACCGTGACACACCCACTGTGCTGTGCAGTCACCTGATTCGAGCTATAACTTCACTATAACTACCCGCCCTCTCCTTTTCTCTGGAGCACTTTATCACATAATCATATTTATTGAACATATTTCACTTCAGTTTGCATAATTTCAACATTTTCATTTTCAAATTAGTTACTCAAAAATGACTTATTTTGGTTGTTCATGCATAATAAAATATAATAAAATCAAAAACTTTTGTTTCTGTCTTTTTGTCTGCTCCACTTTTGTCACACAGACACTTTGTTAGCTCTGATTAGATTTCATATTTGATCAGGTTTGTCTGAGTCTGTGGTGGGGGTGAGTTTGCGGGATAATTTGCATAGTACAGCTTTATGGTCAGTGTCAGACTTTTCATAACCAAACCACGTCCGTGCTACAGAGGGAGCCCCTCGTTTAGTGTGAAGGTCCTCGATTTGTTTTGACTGCAGTCTTTGTCTCTTTCAATGCTTAAACACTGCTCTGTCCATTTCCATGTCTTGTCATTGTCCTCACGTTGATGAAGAGGATATTGAATAAACCTTCCATAATACTTGAGAAGTCTTTTTGGAGGGGGGGGGGGGGGGGTAATTTCGGAAGGGTTACGTCATGAAACTTGCCAGTTTTGTTTTTAGATTTATCTGTGGTGAATATAAAGTTTTATATTTTAAAAAATCCCTTAAAAGTGTTGTTTAGTGTTTCATGGTCATATATTGTGTTCCCAGACACGTCTTTAACAGCACATACAGTTGTTTTTTCTTTTTAACTAGTTAGCCAGAAATCGACCAGATTTATTACTATGTTCAAAATTTTGCAAGCAAAGTCTTTCTACTAAGAGTCAAACCTTAAATACCCTATATACTGTATGTGTAGGTTTAGGATGGAGAAAGGTTCGGGCACGTGAAACACAAGGAGAGCACAGGCAGGAACTTCTGCAACAGAGGAGAGAAGTATCACTGGACTGGGAAACAAGTGAGCGGGTTGAGTTCAGTAGTACTTGTGGATGGTATGTCCTTACCTGTAGATGCAGGCCGACTGGCATAGGAGGGGTAGCCGTGAGAGTGTCCAGGGGAGGAGTATGCAGGTGAGATGGATCCAGGTTCCAAGGGGTCCAGAGGGGAGATATATCCACAGTTGACACGACGGTCAGGGGGGCAGGCTGAGCAGCAGGTGAGTGTGAAATAGTTTGTCTGCAGGTAGACCCATAAGCGCGACAGGAGATCGCTCTGGAGACAACTGAAGATGGAAAAAACGTTAATCCAAAAACAGGGGAGCATGAATTACGAACACAAGGAAGTCCGAGTTACCACCAACGGTAGCAGGATGGCAGAGGGTGGCAGGCAGCGCTGGTTTAAGAACCCTCCAGATAATGGCCCGGAAATTAGGAACAGGTGATGTGCGGACAAAACTCCACCCCAGGGGACGAGGACGTGGAACTGGTCTCACACCCAACCAGGCACAGTTTGATCCTTCCATATACTTTTCATTTCTGATGACCTTCTCTAAGAATGTGCTTTCTCTTGTTGTCTCTTTTCACTCAGTATGTAAACTTCAGTATTTATCAATCACAGTTCAAAAGTTGGTTTCTCAAAAATGACTTATTCTGGGGGTTTTCAGCATAATAAAATCCAAAAGGTTTCTGTTTCTCTGTCTTTTTGGCTGCTCCACTTACCTCACACACAGGCCCTTTGTTAGTTCTGATTAGATTTAAGATTTGATAATAAATTAAATTATAGCAAGAATATCTATCATCCAAAGCACATAGATTAAACTCTGTCACTTTGTGGTACATTACACCCACAAAAGCTGCGTTTTAGGCCTTTTACTCTGGTTGGAGCTGAGACGAGGGATCTCGGTCTTCTTGACATTTTCAATGCAGGTTCAAAGGGCAATAGCTTCACTTTCCAGGCCAAGCACACCATCTGTAGGCACACATGTTCATCTTCGAAGTGTACTTTTATATAATTAAAGGGAGGATTTTGGAGTGGCTTGACTATCATACTGAGTTCAGATCAAACTGGCCCAGGAAACAGAATAAATTTGGCATCTGTTTCAAATCTTCTGAAGTTTTGTTCTGTTCTAAGCCTATTAACTCCGAGGGTAATTGAATGCAGCTTACCTTCACGTCGTGACGTGTGGCTGTTACCATGGACACGAGGCAACGACAACGAGTGAGGAGTGAGTGTCACGGATGTGAAGTAGCTAAAAACAGTTAGCGGAGCCCGGGTGAGAAAAAGTTTATCCAATTTTCAAAAAGTTTGTTTGTTTCTCACTTTAGTTTGATAGTTACCGGAAATTAAAAAGCACGTTTTAAACGAGGTTACTTCTGTATGTGGGACTGCAGACATGGTTACCACAGGGAACTAAAACTGAACTGAAACGGAAATAGATGTGAATTTTATTTCAAAGAAAAAATAACTTAAATCTTGAATCTTTGAAAAACACAGAAAAATAAAAATATAGAGCTGATAAAAACTCAAAACGACATTTTAAATAAAGAAAAGTGGAATTAATGAATAACGGGGGGGCTACAAGAACTGTTGGCTTCCATTTATTCTTAAAAATAAATTAAAACATTTTATATAATCGCACCGAAGCTGCAGAGCGTGGCCAGAAGATCCCACACAAACAGATGTTTCTACCCACGTGATGATAACACGCTCAGAGACAGCAGGGAGACCGCCATGAAACTAAACTTTTTATTGTATTCAAAGTTTCCTTACATTTTAAAAGGTAAATGAGGTGTTGTCCAGCTCAATACGCACTACTCATTTCCAGAGCAGAACTCTGGCATTTTAAAGTTGTGTTTAAGTTTGTTTTTACAGAAGATTTTTTAGCCTCTTTTTTAAACAATAAGAAAATACTGACAACAAGATCGAATTTGATTGAATTATTTTAATTAGCAAAATTGTTTTTAAAAAAAAGTAGACAAGATGCTATTACAAAGTGCTTCACATGAGAATGTAAAATCATATCAAACAGGCAGTATAACAATATAAAGAAGGTATAAAATCAAATAAAACATATTACACATGAACGTTACCCAGATGCCTGTCTAAGCAGATGTGTTTTAAGCTGCGTAGTGGGGGAGGTAAACTCTTCCACAGCATTGGAGCTGGTGTGCGTTTCTCATGTTTTTTTTTCATGTGTGTGTTTATGTGCAAACTTCAGGCGCACATAAACATAATTAACCTTAATCCAGGAGGAGCACAGCCCTGATGGAGATGGAGGAAGTTGCTGCTTCCGAGAAGCTTCTGTAAGTTCTTTACACTCATTCAAAAACTACACACACAGCTGAAGAAAATACAAGGCAAGCAAAGAGCTAGTTGTCTAGACAAGACTGTCAGGGAGTTCTGGAGGTTTCTTCCTGTTAAAAGGGAGTTTTTCCTTCCCACTCTCGCCAAAGCCTTTGCTCACAGAGGGTCGTCTGATTGTTAGCTTTTCTCTTTTTCTCTTGATTACCCCTTTAAAGTCTGAACCATGAAATAACTGACAGAAAAATCTCATTTATTTAAAATAGAGGTTTAGTTTTGTTTGAAATCTATTCTGCAATTTATTAAGATTTTTCTGAGAGAAAAATTCCCACCAATGATGTAGAAGTCTCAAAAGCTCAAATACGAAACATTAGATGTTCAGGGGTTAATGTAGGCTCTTTACCCTACAATGTAAAGCACTGTAGGGTAAAGCTGGTGGCTTTGAGGTCGTCTTCACCTGTTCTCCTTCTTCAGGCCCAAGTCCTACAGGAGCAACTCTCCAGAAGAGATTCGACTGTTAGCCATCGCAGAAAACTTCCAGCGTCAGTACTCGCACTTGTGTCCTGACCGCAAACCGCTGCTGCTCTGTCCTGTAAACGAATGTGGAGTAAAGGTAGGTTTATCTCACTCAACCTTTTTGTCTCTGAAGAACAGATCCCATCAGACCTTCACATCTGCAAACACCCTAAATACTTTCTGCATCGCCGTCTGTCTCTTCTCATATTCAGAAGTTTGTGTCGACGTCTCTTCGTCCAACGCCGACCATCCACTGTGAACTGTTCGACTGGCAGGGCTGTGCCTCTTTTGTGGCCGACTTCCTGTCGTTGGTCCCTCTGGATCCGCCCGTGGAGCCGGTCAGAGAAATGTTTGAGTTTTAGGAGCAAACCAAATATTTTTTGTATTCTGTGGTTGAGAGTTAAAGCACATGTTAGAGAGGACGTCTTTTATTCTGCTGTTTCTGATTTGTGGCACCGTAATTTTCATCATTCAGATAATTATTGCATATAATGTAATTCTAATATGACAGGCTGCTTGTGTTTAGCTGCACATTAACTGCGCGTCATCCTGTCATGTCTGTATGCAGACACCTCACATGACCAGCAACTGATGATGTCACACTCACAGAAACGTGTTTCTGAGAAGCTGAAACTGGAGCTGGACTTGGTTCTGTTTGTACTCTAACAGAGATCATTTAGCAGACAGATCAGTGCAGCATCTGCAGGGATGAGGAGTGTTTAGGTGAAGAGAGAGTTCAGCCCGAAGGCAAAGAAAGTTCATCTACACCCAGCAGCCTCTCACCTGCTCAGCTCCATGTCAGACAAACACATGGTCAAGACTTCCTCGGTCCTTGTAGATGAGATCAGAGGAGAAAGTTCAGACTGCTTTAAGCTGATAGAAAAGAAACAGCAACTCAGATGTTGACTTGGTGCAACCAAGGTTGCAAAAGAGCTTCTCTGAGCACCTTGAAGCAGCAGAAATCTCCAGCTGCCAGTCCTGTCAGCAAAGAACAGCAAAGTGAAACTAAAATTGATTTGGAGTACAGTGACCCAGCCTGTGCTAACAGCCACTGCTCCTGTGCAGCATCTGGACCTCTTCACCTGACTGTCATGCCTCTGAGAGACTCAAGTGCAGATTTTAGAGAATCAGGATGTTTTCCACAGCTTCACTTGTCAGACGCTCTTCTTTCTTTTATATACAGTCATTGTTCTGAACATGTTTCAGCTTTTCAAGATGGTGGATGACAAAAGAAACAAGGCTGCAGAACATAATCACATTCACATCAATAAATGCACACATGCGTGCACCTTCTCTCAGTGTGTGTCTGATTGTGCGTGTCTCCCATTGCAGCCGAAGGTCCTTTCCTCTCCCACCTCGGTGCTGCAGAGTCAGAGAGCCACGTGTTTTGAGTATGCCACTCTGCTGTGCAGCCTGCTGCTCGGCGAAGACTACGATGCCTACTGCGTCAGCGGCTACGCCGTCAAAGAGATGTGTCTGCTCGATCAGAGCATGCAGCAGTGCCCCCTGCTGGACCCCGAGGTCAAGGTAAGTGCGTGCAGCGTGCACATGTGGTCGACAATCAGATTGTTGACTGCCAGATGTGAAAGTGACTTCTTGGTTGTGTGTTTGCGTGCAGGCTGTGCAGGATGTGACCCCAGAACAGAAGGACCAGGATGATAAATACTCAGTGAAGCTGCAGCTGCAGCTCAAGAGTCGTTTTCTGGCCGAGCAAGAGAAGAAGAAGCAGAAGGCTAAAGCTGCGCTGCTTGTAAAACAAAAACAACAAGAGGTAAAGTGATCTTTTCTCTACAAGAGCGACTGCATCTACGCTGCAATAAAGGCTCTCATGAGATATGACATTTATAGGCTATATAAATGCACAGAATCTATGTAAGAAAGTCTGTTTACAAGACGAGGTGGTGTTTACCCTGCAACAGCAGCTCATCCTGGGTGCCTTTAACATAAGCTTGTCTGTCTTTTACTTTCTGTTAATTAAAATCAAGTGTAAGATCATATAAAAGCATTTACATAATTTAATTTGACTTTTAAACTGTAGCTATTTTTCCTCCTTTGCGTTTTTCATGTTCATCGATGTATTTCATGTGTTTTCTGTTGGATTTTTATGAGACTGGTTTGAAGTGTTATACAAATTCACTGAATATTCTGACTGAAGATCAGTAATGATGGTGTATGTTGTGTCATCACTATGAATTCTCTGTGCGAGCAGGAGAAAGATCGGCAGCTGGCCGACCCGCTGCGAGGCCTGCGGGTGCACTGCTGGGTGCTCGTGCTGTCGGGCTGTCGGGACGTCCAGGAGAACGTCTTCATCGACCCTCTGACCGGGATCAGCTACCCCACCAACAGTGACAACTTCCTGGGCATCGAGAGTGTGTGGAACAACCTCAACTACTTTGTGAACATGCAGGACTGCAGTAACGGCTGTGCTGTGAGTCCATGTGCACGGTTAGAGTCAAAATAGCAGAGGCAGAACGGAGCAGGTTTGATGAAATATTCTCCATGTGTAGGACATGATGTTTGACCTGGATGATTTGAAAACGTGGGAGCCAGTCTTGTTTGGAGCATCAAGCAAAAAGCAACTGATTCAAGAAGTCCTGAAGAGAAAAGAGGCTAAAATGATGGGCAAAGGGAACCTGGTGCAGGTACCGAATGCATGTGTGTTTCTCTGGGTGTCAGAAAGCAAAAACCTTAGCTGATTGAAATTTGTATGTTCTCCTCAGCAGGGTTAGGGTTAGGGTTAGATACACAAATGGCAGCAACAAGCATGGAGCAGGGGTCACCTGTATTTCAATATATTTGATCCACAGTTAATATCATCAAAAATACCACATATACCAACCCCAGAAGAAGTCAAAATACTGCTGTAGAAGCTAGTGATGGCCCGCTTGAAGCTGAAGCTCCGGTGCGTGTGTCAAAAAAATCAACACACTGCTTCAGAAGCACTGTGTCGAAGCTTGATTCGTTTGGCCAGAGTCACGTGATCAGGTGACGTCCGAAGCTTCATTTAGAACCTAACTGCTTCGGTATCTGATTCAATGGTTTAATAGAAGCGAATCATTCGCGGGATTTGTGGAGTGTTTTGATGGTGACAGATAGCGAACCACTGATCATTCCACTGAGAGATTTGGAGCCAGCGAGGAATAGAGGAGGTTCTGTTGTGTGGGAGAATTTTGAGTTGATTTTTGTCAATCGGGTGGGTTTTCCAGCTTTGTGTTCTGGCTGTTTGCTTTTGTTTTGTGCGTGTTTATTTTATCTGAAAACGGGGAAAAGGTAAAATGTCAAAAATCTGCTTCCATAATATAAATATCATTAAATAACTTTAGAAAAACTTCCACTTGACTCTTTACATGTAATGTTGTAAAAATATATATTTTATTGTTTAATTAATCTGAAAATGTTAGTCTGCCAAATGTGCAGCAATTGAATTTATTTATTCTCGTTAGCTGTATACCTGCATCTCTACCAGTTTCTCTGCACTCCAGCCTCCTCTGGGCCATGTGAGGGGATTTTCCTTAAGGCAGGATAAATGATCTCCACGAAAAGGAACAGGTTCGGCCATCGCACACTAGAACAAATTCTCTTTTTAAATAAAAATGAAAAAGGGTTACCTTAAACGCATCATGTTTTTAATTTGCAATTTCATAAGCATTTTCCCTTTCCATTTCACAATCAATTCTGCCCCCAGGTCAAAAATCTGTCTGAGAAAATTTCCCTAATATAATATTATTTATAAATACACCTGTCTAGCGATTAACTGCATGAGTGCACGGAGGCAGGACCTCAGAGCAGAAGCATACTCCATAATGTGTTGTACATTATTATATGTATATATTATATGTAACGTGGTATTTTTCAATTATTGTATTTACTAACATCAAGAAGTCACAAGCAAAGGAAGACCACACCATGGTGCATGTTTAAACAAGGAGAGTTTTTAACCACCAAAAAAATACACGTTCAAAGCAACACAACAGCGGCCCAATATCAGACAAAACTCCACTGTGTAGAGTAGGCAATCGTAATGAAGCAGTTGGTTTTATTTTGTGGATTCAAGCTGCTCTTTGTATTTTTGGCCACCAGATGTCACCAGAGAGGACTGTGTTGAAAAGCTTCGAGTAATGAACCGTTTTTCAATACAAGCTTCAGAAAGCTTCATTTGGCCATCACTAGTAGAAGCTGTAAATAGATTCTCCTGGCTAGCCTACGGGCTAAGACGGACTCACATAAAGTCCCTCCTAATTTAAAGCTCTGGTTCAGACTGACATTTATAATATAACAAACTTTTATTTTCTAAATCCCTAATAGAAAAAAAAGGAACTTACCTAACTCCAAAGAAAATCAGATCTACAAAGATAATCTACCTAACGAGCACATAAACGTGAGAAAACGAGGGATCACAAAACAAAAGGAGCCCACGGAGACAATCACAGCAGCGTGAGCCCGCAGAACCCAGTGAGTCGGCACGCAGTCAGAATCGCTCCACAGACCGCTCTGATGACTGATCACCCAATCAGGACAGAGGAGGTGGAGCCTAATGCCTCATTTGGGATTTAACAATAAATACAACAATATGTTTTTTTACACATAATCTTGGATATTTAATTTATATTTACTTTTAAAGAGGCATTGTCTTCTTATGTGTAAAATTGGAATGATTGACCTTTTTCAAACATCCAGAAAAAAGTTGTATTCTGTCTGTAACAGTTAATTACAGATCAAATACTGATTGGTTGGTCAGATATGAACCTAACAGAGTTACACCACATTAAGATATTAGCTTTACTTTTTTATTAATGTATTAACTCTGATGTAATTCATTTCAGTTTGTATTTAAAAATATTGTAAATTTTAAAAAAAAACTTTACTGTAAGATCACATCATCGTGTGGATTATTAGAGGACCCAAGATGCAGGCAGCTCAGATGCAAGTGAGTTTATTCATCAGACGGTGATACAAACAGACACGGCGAGGGTGAGAATGGAAACTAAACAAAACCTAAACTGGGAAAACTAACAGAAACAGAGATGCAGGGAAATACACAGAATGACAGACGGAGATAACGCAGACGAACCAGCAACTAGCAGACGCCAACACGAGGCTAAAATACACAGAGGATAACGAGGGAAGGAGGAGGAGGGCACAGCTGGGAGTAATCAGACATGACGGGACAGGGGAAACGTAAAGTGAACACACTGACATCAGACACACACCTTCAAAGTAAAACAGGAAGCACACACACGCAAAGACACAGAGACGTGGGCTTAACACACTGACTACACTAGACACAAAACAGAGGGAACACTGGGAAACCAAAACACGCACTCATAATTCTTTATAAAATCAAAAGTGAAAGTACAAAAACGAAAACACTGGGTCACCGACCTGGACCGAGACAGTCTTACATTTTTACTTCATTAAAGGAAATTTAAAGGAAATATTTGACCTCTCTGACTGAATGACAAATGAAAGGATGAGGCTCTTAAACAGTTAGTACTTACTTCCTGCTATCAACAACTCTGTTAACAACAGTTCTTCTTTCAACATTAGTCATTTAAACACTCAAACGAGACTCAGAGTGAAACGCTGGTGTCCTGTGCTGCAAAGGTTATGCTGATATTTTCAGCTCTGTGTTGTCATTTCACTTCTTTTCATTTATTTTTTAGTACATTTCTATTAATTTCCTGAGACGAACTGATTCAGGTCATTTTGTGAATTAAAATTTAAATTCCAGCTCCAGCAAATGAAACACGATTTTACTGTGAATACAATAAATGTAAATTGAACTTTCTTTGTCTCGAAGGAGGGCGTACCCAACGTTTTGGAGATGCCGAGATCCTGGGTCAGCTACATTGCCATCTCAACAGAAGGTAGGCTCTGTTTGTACGAACATTACCTTGTACATTGTTCACCAGTTTTACTTCAGCTTTAGGAGTTCAAGATTTAACCTCTAGAACCCAAACAGACGTCACCTGATGCTGTCAAACCTGCACAAATACTGCCTCTTCTTTATTATTCAGCCCTGAAGAACCGCTGGCCAGGAGGAAAGAAGGTGATCCGCTACAAACAAGCCCAGCTGGAGAGGTTTGCCACGTCCAAAAGGTTATACGGCGTTGTCACACGACTGACCAAATACAAAGACCGAGGCTGTGAGTGCCAGAGAAACACGCTTTTCTGTCTCCATGTAGACGTGAATGTGCTTTTCTTTACAAGTAAAAAAGGGGAATTCATGAGTTTCTGGAAAATCTTTCTCAATCGATTTGGTGCAGTTCTCCAGCAGGAGCGTCTCCCAGCAGCGCTCCTCATGCACTTCTCAGACGTTCTCAGATTCCTGAGATTTTCTCAGTGTACTAATCTTTTTAAGTTGGTTTGTAAAATATGTAGTTTTTGATATTTTTAATAAATTAGACAACTTCTTTTATATTTTTAGTTCGTTAGTGAGATGATTTATGGTTGTGTTGTTTGTAATGAGTAACTTGTGAGTGTGCGTTGAAGGCACTGAGGTCGCCACGGTGAAGGAGTGGTATCAAGACAGGAGCGACTTCCTGGAGGAGAAGGAGGTGGACAATATCAATAAGATCACCACAGAGCGCTTCAGACATGGAAGAAAACGTCACCTGCTGTGTAAGCCGGCTTTCTGCAGCCGTCCTCAGAGGCGCTGTGTAGTAACATTTTTCATGTTAGATCTTAATACAGTGCAGCCGAAGGCACCTAAAATACATCTGACAAACACCAGCAGCTGTTTTATTCTAGAAATCATCAGTTTAAGAAAGTTTGACTCAGCTAACATTACAGCTCGGCTCAGGCTGAACATCCTAGGTAACACGATGGCGTCATAATCTGTGATATAGATAAGAGCCGGTGGGCCTTTTTAGCTGCTCAGCGTCTGATTGTGGAGTTTGCAGACAAACAGACAAAGAGAGACTTCATGTGTTATACCATCAGTCTAAGTCGGGGGTATTACTCATTCCAGAATGACTTGTCATTGACAAGCCGTTAACCAATGAGCATGCAGTTTGATGGTCATACCCTCCCCCAAAACAGAAACAGCAGTGTTCATCACGAGCTCTCAGTACGGGACTTCGTAGTCCAGTGGGCAATGTTATGATGGCGATGTCTGTCTTTTACACAGTCTGTGACTGAGTTTTGGCGTCAGCTGCAAGCTCCCGAGCAGCTCAGACATGCAACTGAACGTTGTCACTTGCTCCATGTGTGAGCCTTCAGCAGCTTTGGAGTGAGCAGGAAAATAGTGACTCATTCTAAATGATAATGTCAGAGACGTGATGAAGGAGTGAGCTGAGAGTAGGTGTGTTTCTTTTTCGTTCAGTTTTGAGGGTCAAATCACTTACTGTGGGCACTGAGGTTGAAATGCACTTCAGCGGTGCTCGCGTTGACGACCTGGTGCGGAGGGTGCTGTTGCCGAAAGAATTAATCGAGCTCTTCGAAGGCCGGAGCGACTTCCTCCATTACCGGCACGTCTACTTCAAAAAACATATCCAGCTGCTCAGCGAGAACTCACACACGGAGGAAGTGCCCATACTGGTAAATGACAGGAAACAAACACGCAGATCACTTCGTAAATCTTCGTAAAAATTGCTTTGTTTTTAAAAGCCACAGGATGCTTATGTGGATGTGTTTTGTTTGTTTTGTTTATTGCTCATCCAGAAAGTGGTAGAGCGTTTCCATAGAAACGGCTCCAAACCAGCCAATGAAGACGTGGCTGAGCGAGTGTTCCTGATACCAGAGAAACTGATTGAGTTGACCTACCACTTAACGGAGGACCGATTGATCCCTTCAAAGATCAGCTTCATCAAGCCACTGGGCTCAGAAAAAAGGAACGCACAGGAAATCTCTCTTGACATGATCTCCACCTTCCAGGTACACGTCGCAAATGCATGACAATACATACAGCAGATATCACAGTTACATTTTTTCAGTCTAAAAGCTTCTAATCTGCCTCTGGGTTCATGCACTCCACTGATACTTAAGGTGGATCTATCTGCGAAGCCGTTCACAGCCGTAACCCTGCATAAGATGCTGGTGGAACTGATGGAGGTTGAAGAGAAGGTGACTCATCATATTATGCGGTCGGTGAAAGAGGTAACCACACCCTGGATTAAAAGAGTAGTCCCCACAACGCCTTCATTCTTAAAGTTTTCCCAGGGTAATTAGGAAAAGTACCTGTAAGTTCAGTTAAAGATGTTCTGTATTGATGTGTGAACAGATGAGAGACGTTGTGACCCTCCGTGAAAAGGAGACTAAAGAAATGAAGCTGTGGAGCCGAGCAGCTGCCCTCGTCCACAGCAGGAAACAGAAAAAGGTGAGACACCAGCTGTTTCTTCCTCTGCTGCTCACGTTGCCCGACTTTTGTTGCCCCCCTTCCACATTTTTGAGATGTGTTGCTGCCATCAAATTCAAAGTAAGATGTCCCAGTGAAATGCATTTGTATTTTATTTGGATTTCACACAACATGCCTGGCTTGTGTAGCCACGAGGTAACAAAAGCTCAACACTACGCCGAGCGTCCTGGAGCACTGCTGTTGTGTTTTCAAATTTGTACGTATTTTGGAGTTTGTACATGCTTTGTCTCTAGGGGCCATCGTGACTATGCTTTTATTTATTCAATCCACATAAAAAGTAATAAATAAACTATATAATGCAAAAAACAACTATTCACATTTTAACTTTTAAATATTTAAATTTTCGGCTTTTTCCTTTTGAACAAATTTAAATTGAAACAACACAAAACACTGCAAACCACAACACAATAAAATATAAATTAAAATATGAAAACAAAAAGAAGATGCCCATTCTCTGTCACAGCGGTCCTCAACCTTTTTTGTGCCACGGACGGTTTAATGTCAGACAGTATTTTCACGGAGCCTTTAAGGTGTCGCGGATAAATACACCAAAATAAAACGATACGACCGAGACACAAACTGTGGCATTTTGTAAATATAATAATAAACATGAATTCACTGTGTAATTGTGTAACTTTATTAGCAGCATCCTCCTGAAATGCGCCAACAACACTGAGAGTAACATCCTCCTCTCTGCCCCTTAATGCTCTCTGGTCACTATGGTAACGTGTAAATATATCTTTCAAAATAAGACACGACTACAACACGGGAAAAGACCCGGGGAAACCGAGCTAACAGTAAAAACCCCGGAAACCATAAATTTCACACCCGAGCCTGAACTCTCCAACTCGCCTCCAGGATCTCCACAGATTAATCATGTGCAGTTCCACATGATTATTAACAGACAAAAAGAAAACATATTACTGATACAGAAATAGTTTTCTACACAAGATCGCTGCAAAAACTGCAGCTTTACCTAATGTCAGCGCTACTGTTACTCATTTTATATTAGGATTTAAAAATCTAGCTGGTGTTGGCCTGGGGAGTAACCTTCAGTAATACTAATAAATCACACAGCAATGCTACATTCAATACATTACAAAATACATTTTGGGGCATGTATTCTGTAATCTGTAGTAGAATACATTTTCAAATAACCTTCCCATCTATTTATAAAGCACTTTAAAATACGCAGCACAGGACCAAAGTACAGAAAACAAGTTAAAAACAATAGAATAAATAAAAAATAAATAAAACACATAATACATAAAAATTAAAACAGCCCTATATTAAAAAAAGAACACAAGATAAAACAGCATAGGCCTTCCCAACACTGGTGGTGAGTCACATGGCAGGGTCAGGTGTGGTCCTGCAACAAGGGAGAAGCTGAAAGCAGATTCTTCATTGTCATTCAGTACAGAGAAGGTCCGGAGAGAAGCACAACAGTCTCCACCTATCTAGACCTCCACCTAACACAGTGGAGGCTCTGTCATGGCATGGAGCTGCTTCTTTGCCAGTGGTGTTTGAGATCTTTTAGAGCGGTGGCCCCCAGGCTGTGGAATGCTCTCCCGCCATCATTACCTTGATTGGATTTATTCTTTTAAAAAGCAGCTTAAGACTCATTTATTTACATTGGCTTTTTTGTATTTCTGTGAAGCACTTTGTGGTTTTTATCCTGTGAAGAGTGCTATATATTGCTATAGATTGGCAACAGTTTTATTTTTTAGCAGAACAATCAACCCAAACACGCTGCCAGTGCAGGAACAACATAGGTGGGGAGGAAATCACCCAGTGGGTCACTATCAGTAGTGGACTGGCCTCACCAGAGCCTGGATCTGGTCGTTACTGAAGCAGTGTGAGATGGTCTCCCAGAGAAAAGTTTTCTGAGTCTGCCTCAAGTGGCCATTAGAGGAACTGCAGCTTTTGATACTCAGGCGGTTTCATTTTTCAGCTCTGGAGTTTGATGATGGATGAGGCCCGCTGTCTATCTGTGGAACCTCTTTAATATCAAAACAGCATTTTAAAAAATTAAACATCTGTCTTTTAATTTGGAGTAATATTGTCTAAATCTCTTGCTGCTGTTATAGGTTTTGATCTTCTTTGTTATTTTTTTTTTATCTCAGGTGTTTGTTGCAGTTTATTTTCTTTTTTTAAATGATTCTTGTTGCATCAATCCTTTTGACTCTTTGTGCTTTTTTTCAGGAAAATGCTGAACTTAAAAACATTTTGCAGAAGTATCTGTCTGAGGAGATCGACCAAGATGTGAAGAAGGAAGGCCTGAATCCATATTTTGACATCGAAACAGAGGAGAAAATCAAAATCATTCAAGAACAATACATGAAGGTACCAGTGAAGCCTCACACAGTGACTCTGGGTGACCAGTCTTGTTTGCTGCACAGGTGGGCCTGTATAGTAAAATGGTAAATGGCCTGTATTTATATAGCGCTTTACTAGTCCCTAAGGACCCCAAAGCGCTTTACATATCCAGTCATCCACACGTTCACACACTGGTGATGGCAGCTACATTGTAGCCACAGCCACCCTGGGGCGCACTGACAGAGGCGAGGCTGCCGGACACTGGCGCCACCGGGCCCTCTGACCACCACCAGTAGGCAACGGGTGAAGTGTTTCGCCCAAGGACACAACGACCGGGACTGTCCAAACGAACCGGCAACCTTCCGATTACAAGGCGAACTCCCAACTCTTGAGCCACGATCGATGGTTCTGTTGTCTGGCTTAATAGAAGTCATTTTTATTTTTGGATGTTTGATAAGTAAATTCAGGTAAATACACTTTGCAGAAACTTGTTGCAATCCGTCCAGGTTCTTGTCCTTTGGTGGACGGTAAAACCTTCTCGACGGGTGCCAGAATTCTTTCCTTTGATAAAACCCTGGACAACGTCTCATCTCAGACTAAAACAGCCATTTGATGTACATCAGTGTTTTCTTTTAGTTAGATTTGTAAGTACATACTGTCCATTGATGTAACAGGATCCAGAATCTGGGGTAAAAATGTGCCAAACTGAACATGTGACCCGGCATGCTGCTTTAACGGAAGATAAAGGCTATAACAGCTTGTTTTAGGCAGATAAACTAAGAGCTGTGCAAGATAAACAAGGACTGTTTGGACTGTGAGTCACACAAAGCTCTTCTAGTAAAGTACAACAATAAATGGGGCTGGAAGTCAGAATGGTGACAACAGAAGCAGCGAGGGTTCAAACAAACTGACATGGTTGTTAAAAATGTGTGTTCAGGACACAGCAGAGGTGGAGAAGACGCAGGAGTGGTTAAAGATGAAATTGGACGAACTGAGAAAACATCGGGAGCGGGACCAGCAGCACTGCGACGAGATAAGAAGCCAAATTAAAGCCGCCCTGCAGCAGCTGCACATGTACCCACACCCACCTCAGCCCAATTTTCCAAGACACACCCAAAGATTCACGTTTAAAAACACAAACTTATTGTGTGTGTGTGTGTGTGTGTGTGTGTGTGTGTTCAGGGATATGCGGAGCGGAGAGGAGACACACAAGGATGTTCAGGAGGATCTCTGCCAGGAACTGAAGCTCTCCTCTCTGATGGACAGCTGAGCTGCACACACCTGTCGCCTTTTTGTTTTAACAGTAAAAACAAATATTGGTGTTTATTCGTTACACAACCAAATGATACAACTACACACGTGTCTGCTTTTGTTTGCTTTGCTTTTCTTCATCTTTTTATTTTTGACATTTAGATTTTTCAGACCGTGTGTAAGACTTCATACAGGAGGGTCCTCTGTACACGACTGCCTCTAGATCTGATATTCATGGTTGTTGCTACGAAATCAATCAACAAATAAATACAAATCATAAGGTTTCTGGGGTCCTGCGATTTCATGATTCAGGTGAAGCAAATATAATCAGGGAAGCAAAATGGAATACGTGTGTGTGAAAGAGAGGGAGACAGATGGAAACATTCAAGGAGTCAAGAAAGTGAATGTGGATGAGTTTAAATACTTGGGGTGGAGCGGGTGGAGATGAGTGTCAGGAGGGATTTGTGACAGAAGGAGAGCAGCAAGAGTGAAAGTTAAAGACCTGCTGTGATGTTTGGTTTGGAGACGCTGTGTCACCAGCTGTCGTCGCTCCCAATTCTTGGATTCTGACCCGGCGGAAACACGACGCGAGACGGGCGTCTCAGTTCAAGAACTTCCTTATTTACCCATGTATAAGAGGAGATGTTCACAGCGTGAAGCCTCCCGCAGATCTGAAGGGCAGGCCCTCGATCTGTCACATGTATACTTTTCAAAGTTCCTCGTTCAGAGCCTACTTTTCCTGTTATGTAGTACTCTGTGTTCCTGTACCCTTCATACACAGTTTTTATCAAAACATCTCCTTATCTTTTCCTTTTATAGTCTCACACATCAGTTCATCTCTCCTTCTCTGCATGTCCTCATTTTCTATGCACGTGGGCGGCTGCATGTGGGGTCTCTGGATGCGCTAAGCTCTCTAGCTAGTTCAGCTTTTTTTATCTATACTTATCAAGATGTGTTAGTGGCAGTTAGTGCTGCCCTTTGCAGCCACACTCTAATGCTGCTTCTGCACTCTTTCCTATAATGCTGTTTTTTATTTGTAACTACTTGCTCCTGCAGTTGCACAGAGGCCTGCTAGCAGTATAATACTATATACAGTTCCACAGGTGGCACAAAGATGTTGAGATCCTCGGAGGCGAGGCTGAGGGTTACATACAGCCAGAATTTCATTCCAAAAAACACAAATACACACAAATAGTTACAAACTATGGCTGAAAATAAAGGGAAAATTAAAGAATATAATACATACATATTGGACAAAGGATGTTAAAGATGAAGCCGATTGACAGGAGGAAGAGTAAGGCCTCAGAGGAGATTCATGGATGTAGTGGAGGAGGACTGCAGAGGTTCTAAAGGGAACAGCTGGAAGAAGAAGGCTGAGAGAACCAGCATCCCTGTGCCGTGTCAGTTAGAGAACGACGGATCTTTAAGATAAATAAATGTCACTGTTCCTTCAGTGCAGCAGTTTGCAAATAAAAGTCCGATTGCACTGTGAGAATGTATTTCACAGGTTTAAAGAAAATAAGAACTTTACAGTTTTTTACAGCCGCTAGGACACATTTCCCAATACTTAGGTCACTTTTGCAAAACACTTCACACAATCCTCCTAACTGACCGTCAGCTTGGCAAAGCAGCTCATTTCACATTCAAAATGCACGACAACCACCAAAACACTTCATTCAGGTCTCAAATAAACTCATTCTTCCAGAACACTAGCAAAGGTTGACAGCCGACAAACACACCTTGTCACCCACAACACCATGACCTAAAAAACACTAACAACATGTAGCATTACAGTGTTTCCTTGTGTAAAACAAGGACACATCTCTGTTTATAATTTCAATATATGTTACTGGAATGAATCAGACATCATGCAGAATTCGTTAATATTTGTTTCTGTATTTTTATTTTTTTTGCACTAAGTAATCCCAAAATACAAGAATCTGTATACACACCATCCACTGATACACATACAATAGTAATGCTAATCTACTCGGTCTCCTCCATTTCTGGCTGGGTCCATGTTTACATCACAATAAAACCTATTCAGCAGTCGTCTCCTTTTGTAATGAAATTGAAGCAGTAACACCTGTGCAGATGTTCATCTACAATGAGAATCAGCTGTGGCTGGTTAAACTGCATTTTTAGATTTAAAATATGTTTCAATAAAATATTGCTGTTGCATTTTGCTGTCTTATTAAGTTTTGCATTGTGTTATTGTTTTGGCCATAAGTTTAACAGTTTTGAAAACAGTATGTAAGCACATGCAAAATGTCCTGTACGTACAAAGATTGTTGGCAGTTGTTGTGTCTGAGTGAGAAGATAATTCATGAAATTTGAGAGATGTAGTCATTGAATGCATTTTGTGCCAAAACAATGATAACTGGTCCTCAGTTTGGCCCACATAGACTTCTGTTGTGCTCACTGTGTGAGGAGTTTTGCAAACGTGACCTAAGTATTGAGAAATGTGTCCTAGCGTCTGTAAAAAACTGTAAAGACCCAAATCAGTTTTTCTTCTTTTTAACAGTAAATGTCAACAGGAGTGTAAATATGTGTAACATATAAGGTGGTACACAAAATTAAATTCAGCAGCAGCTCACACACATGACGCACAGATGGATGTAGAGGCGAGGAGTGTGGAGGAGCTGTGGTATTTGGAGGAGGGACTCTTTCAGAGACGTGAGTTCCTGCTTTCCAGTGAAGAAGAAGAGAGGCAGCAGTAAACCATCAGAGCCTCATCATGAAAGTGCGTCACTCCTCTCTGACCTGTGAGTACATTCACCTCTTTGTTCTGTCATGAATGTAAAAGCTGCAGCACTGAAAATGGGCACAAACCTTCAGCTACATGGTGGATTTTATTAAAGTCAGACATTCATGATGCTGCCGAACTTTCAGAGTCAGCGTTCAGTGTATCACTAAACTGGAGTTATGTATAATTCAGTTATATTACCAGTGGGCAGTGAGTAGCATCTGAATCTATGTTGTAGAGTAATGAAGTTGTAACTGTGTGTGTGTGTGTGTGTGTGTGTGTGTGTGTGTG